TGTGTGTGTGTGTGTGTGTGTGTGTGTGTGTGTGTGTGTGTGTGTGTTGTGTGAAATGTATGTATGTAGGTGAAGATTCCCTGGCACTGAAATTACCAATGATATGGACTACTTCACCTGGATGCCGGAAATCAAAGTCAGGTCCTCTGCAAGTGTAACAAGTGCTCTTAATCATGAGCCATCTCTCCAGTCCTAGAAAAGTTTTGTTTGTTTTGTTTTGAAGTAACATTTATCCAAATCACACTTCTCAGAGGAAAACCACTTAACCATTGTGTACTGACCGTCTTATAAATTCTCTTAGATAAGTATGCCCGTGTCTATATCATCCTACACTCTCTCTACAGCATCCGATGGCTCCGGATTTATCATAACCACACAGGGTGTGGGACTCTGTGCTAAACACTGAAGATTATTAACCTGTTTCGTTCTTCAAGCGATATGATGCAGTAGGCTGAATTCCCCTCTGCGATTCACAGATGAGACGCTGCAGCTTGTAGAAGTTAGACAGTCAAGTCACCCACACACTCTTGAAAAGCTCAAGAAGGTAGAGTGAAGATGGACCCAGGTCTGCCAGGCTCCAGTGCCAAGCCACTAAGTTATACTGCATTCTCAGATAAACTCTGACACAGTGTATCCCTGTTGGATGGGTCCTCGCATTGTTCCATTTTATTTAATCACATAATACAAGAATGTACATTTCTTAAAACAAACTTCACTGAGAAGTTCAGCCCTAAGAACATAGATACAACTAGGCACAGTGGCACACACCTGTGATCCCATTAATCAGGGAGGCAAAGGGAGAGGCAGGCAGGTCTCTGTGAGTTCGAGGCTAGTCTTGTCTACAAAGTGAGTCCAGGACAGCCAAGGCTACACAGAGACACCCTGTCTTGAAAAACAAACAAAAAATAACAGTTATTTTTTCCCCTGTTTCTTGCCTGAGACCTAGACCAAGAACTTCTATAAAAGAGAAAATCTCCCATAGCTCTGACTTTTGGAGGAAAGAGGGTCCTCAAATCTCCGAGGCATAGAACACTCTCTTTGTTTACATAAAGCTTTTGTACACTGGGTCCCTTGTTAATCAGTTGACTCATCACAAAGAAAGCCCACAGAGAATGGAGGGCAAGAAAGCCCCATGGCTACCAGGAGAAGTTCTATCACAAATGGGCTTTAAGGAATCA